GAGAGAGAGAGAGAGAGAGAGAGAGAGAGAGAGAGAGAGAGAGAGAGCATGCATTCATAAGTCTGGCTATGCCTAACTGGTCATTTGGAATAAGGTTTCAGGAAACTTAATAAAGAATGATTAAGGGGCAAGGTGGGGAGGGGAGGGGAAGCAAAGAGGAAAGTGGGTCTTTCCTAGCATTAAATTAATGATTAGTTTCTCTCAGAGGCCAATTATTAAGTCCTAGGAATATTCAATAAGGAATGTATGGCTGCCATTATGTTTTCTGCAAGCATTCATAAGCCAAGAAAAATATGAGGTCATTGTCTCCCCAGGTGTCAGTAAGTCGTTGGTAATTATTATCAATAATAATGATTACAATACTGTTCTGTCCTCTTCTCCTGTGGTTAAATCAATCAAGAGGCTGGTGACCAATGATCTGCCTTCCTCCTACAATTTTACTCCCCACCAATTTTCTAATGTACTGTAGTGCTTATTAAGATAATCTCAAATAGTTAGTGCCTACCCCCAACTGAGCCATAAGAAATTTATTCCTTTCATTTGCATTCTGAATCAGCTGAATGGGATAGTATTATCATCCATTTATAGATGAGAGATATAGAAGAGCAGAGAGGTTATTTGATATGCTCAGGGTCCCAGCAAGGCAGTACTATGAGCAAAATTGAGACTGGGGATAGAATTCCAGTTTCTTGACTCACTGTTCAGTCCACTAACCATAGGGTTAGACTACCATTCTTAGTCAATTTACCATTACAATAAACCCTAAGTAACTATTGACATTTTTGGTTGAAAGTGGATAGAATTTGGCGTTTGATGTCAGGAAGAGCTGAGTTGGAATCCTGCTTCAGACACTTCCTAGCTGTGTGATTCTGGGAAAGTCACTTAACCTCTCCCAGCCATTATTATCTCTCCCAGATATTATTATCCCAGGATAATAATAGCACCTATCTCACAGGGTTACTGTAAAGATCAAATGAGATAACCTATGGAACATGCTTTGCAAACCTTAAAGCCCTATGTAAATGCTAGCTTGGAAAATCAATGGGCCAATATCACCCATCTTTGTTTAAATTATTTTTTTCAATTAATGAGCATTTCCCCTCTCATTTTTACCTCTCTCTTCATTGAGAAAGAAAAAGAAAATCCTTGTAACAAATATGCTCTACTGGACTTCCAAGGCCCTTTTTAACCATATGGTTCTATGATTTTGTGATTTCATAAAGCACGTTGGAAAGGTATTTTTGAGTGAGAATATCCCAGTGATTCTGAAATCACCATGCAGACAGCCCTCTACTGCACAAAAATCTAAGAATGGCTTTGGTACTTTCCACCATAATAGAAGCAAGTATGGGCCCAGGTCCCTGAAAACTTCTGATTTTTCCATTCTTCAACACTGGGCTCGAGGAGTTAAAGGTAGAAAAAATCCTTGGTACCATGGAAAGAGTCCTAGATTTCGAGACAGAGGGACTGGACTTGAATTTCAGCTCTGCCTCTCACTACTTGTGAGACCCTGGGCACGCCTGTCCACCTGTCTAAACCTCAGTTTCCTCATTTATAAAATGAGAAGTTTGGATTAGATGACTCCTAAGATTCATTCTAGCTCTAAGTATATGATACTATGATCTTGCTAAAAAGTGGCCTGGAGTAGAAGCTTGAATTATTTTCCTTTTGAGTTTGGACAAATAAATCACTAACCCATATGGTGTCCTTATAGGCAGCCTCAGGACTGGAACAGATCCCAGAGACCAATTTTGGGATCCTTTGTGCTGACCAGTATGTAACATTATTATCCGTAGAGTTCAAGGTGAGTAAGGCTTCAGTCTGGCAATAAAATCCAAATGAATAGTCTGTTGGCTTCTGGAGAAAATAACACTTCTCTATTTGGTACCCTTGGAGTTCTGGAGATAAAATATTGATTTGCCACTGGTTTATATCAGTATAGGACTGGCTTAAAGGATGGAGTTCCATCTAGGCAGAGAGGGGCTCTGTGGTGCAGAGCTGAACAGTCCAGAAGTCACAGGATCATAGATTTAGAGCTGGAAAGGACCTCAAAGGACCTCTAGTCCAGTCACCTTATTTTATAGATGAGGCAATTTAATATCGGAGAGACAGTGATTTGTCCAAAGTCATATGGGTGATAAGTAAGATAGCTGATATTGGAACCAGGTACTTTGAGCTGTAGTCCTAGATCCAATAACTGGTTGTGTATATTTGGGCAAGTCAACTTAACAGGATGGGGGCCATGCAAGTGAAGAGAAAGGTGAGATGGGTGAGAGACTTTGTGGGGGTAGAATTGGAACTGCTTGGCTACTGACTGGGGAATGAAGGAGTAAGGAAGGAGGGAAGGAATGAAGGAAGGAAGGAAGGGAGGGAGGAAAGGAAGGAAAGAAAAGGAAGGAAGGGAAGGGAGAGAGAGAAGTAGGAAGAAAGAGAAAGAAGGGAAGAAGGAAGGAAGAAAGGAACAAAAGAAGGAAGGAAAGAAGGAAAGGCAAGGCAAGGCAAGGCAAGGCAAGGCAAGGCAAGGAAAGGAAAGGAAAGGGAAAGGAAAGGAAAGGAAAGGAAAGGAAAGGAAAGGAAAGGAA